GAAACGATGGAACAAAGATCTCCGTTAAAACTGGTAATCCATCCGAGCCGACGCGTCATAACGACGCGTATAAGAGAAGCGCGGCGCGGTTTTCGAGAATAATCGGCAAAAGGGAGGGCATTATTCTTCATTAGCCAGTCTTCTTCCCCTCTTTCAATGACTCGTCGCGCCTCTTAGCGTTTCCACGGCGCGATCGTGGGATCCCATCCATCTTGCCGAGGATCCTCCAACCTTCCATCTTCCTTCCTTTCCCTCCTTCCTTCTTTTTCACCGCCGACCTTCTCCTCGCCCCTCCCCCTCGCTGTTCCACCATCGGTTGTTCCAGCGCCGATTGCCTTTACAGTTACGCGAGAGCGGCGTGTATCCGGGTGCAACCAGCCGTATAATTGTCGGGGCCAAGCCGGTCGTGGGCGTCGTGGAAAAAGCAACAGAGGGGGAGAACGAGGGGATGGCGTGGAGGAGCTTGAAGGGCGAATGGGAAGAGGGTGGAAACGGCTGACGAGCGACTCGCCCTCGCACCCTTGGCGCAGTATCGAACGCGGGAGAGGGCCGCCTTGAATTAACGCCATCATATTTCAGGATGGAGGAGCTCGCCGGGGTTTTCTTCCCATTTGTCTCGAGACTCGGCCGTCTACCGACTGGAAACCTAACAACGCTCTGCCCCGTTTCCACATGAGTAATACACATGGCTGAATACCTGGGCCCCACGTTGAAGTAGAAATCTGGTGGAAAAGAGAGAAAGAGGAAAAAAGAAAAAAGAAAGCTTTTTCACTTTGATAAGGTGATACACATGGCCGTGAATGCCTGGGCCTCACGTTGAAGTAGAAATCTGGTGGAAAAGGGAGAAAGAGGAAAAAAGAAAAAAGAAAGCTTCTTCGTTTCGATGAGGCCGTGATACACATGGCTGAATACCTGGGCCCCATGTTGAAGTAAAAATCTAGTGGAAAAGGAAGAAAGAGGAAAAAAGAAAAAAAGAAAGCTTTTTCGTTTCAATGAGGCCGTGATACACATGGCTGAATACCTGGGCCCCATGTTGAAGTAAAAATCTAGTGGAAAAGGAAGAAAGAGGAAAAAAGAAAAAAAGAAAGCTTTTTCGTTTCANGAGGCCGTGATACACATGGCTGAATACCTGGGCCCCATGTTGAAGTAAAAATCTAGTGGAAAAAGAAGAAAGAGGAAAAAAGAAAAAAAGAAAGCTTTTTCGTTTCGATGAGGCCGTGATACACATGGCTGAATATCTGGGCCCCACGTTGAAGTAGAAATCTGGTGGAAAAGGGAGAAAGAAGGGGAGAAAAGAAAAAAGAAAGCTTCTTCGTTTTGATGAGGTCGCGAAGCAGCGATGATGAAATTCCATAGAAGAATATAAAAAGAGAAGAGAGAGGAGGAAAAGGAGGAGGAGGAGGAGGGATTTTCGTGGTGAATTTTTTTCGTGGGCGGTATAGCGAGTGCTTTAGATTAGTTTGGAGAAGCGGGGAATGATGTTGAAGCTCGATTAAGTAAAGAGGGATTCGATGAGTAGGCGCGGTTTAGATAGGAGAATTTTTCGGACACGGTGCAATTGCCTTTTCAACGAGACGAGTATAATTGTTTCACGAGTGATAAGATAAGATAAGATTCTACTTAATTGTTGTATTTAGAAATGTTTTCCGCCGATTCATTGCGCGTAGTCATGATTTTTCTCGATCCGAGATACCGATTTCTGGTATACTCGATATATTTATAACAATTAAAATAAATAAATAACTCCAACGCGTCGATTCGTATCGAAGAGAAGCATGGCGTTTGAACAACGATGCGATTCTTCTGTTTCAGGTATGGTTCAAAAATAGGCGGGCGAAGTGGCGGAAACAGACGCGGAACGCGAACACCGCGGCGGATACGGTTGACTTCAAGCCCGGTTTCGGCGCCAGCCTGAACAGCTTCATCGGCCAACCGTTCGCAGACCCGGACGCCCTCTACAGCTCGTACAGCCCGTACAACAACTGGGCGGCCAAAGTGCCCTCGCCTCTGAGCAGCAAAAGCTTCCCCTGGGTGAACACCCTGGGCTCGGTGGTTCCGACGGCGTCGCACCA